ACCAGCGGATCAAAAAGGATAATGGTTCGGCCTATTTTTTAATTAGCACTATTACCCAATTCTTACAGATGAAACTATGAAATATTATAAATTTAATTGCTTATATAAAATATATTTTAATAATGGTTTTTATTAGAATATATATATATATATATATATATATATATATATATATATATATATATATATATATATATATAATATATATATGCTATGTACATATATAATATATATATATAAAAATATAAAAAATAATTCTTATACACTTTTATTTTACTTTTACTTTCATATATATATATTCTTAAGCGGATAGATATATATAATTTCTAGCAATGTTATTGCTAAATATTTTTAACCTATTCAATTCTTCCTAAATTTTTTCGAAACCTTATCGATGTAAAGCCAATAGAGTACGCTGTTGCTGGTTTATTTTAGCAATAACACCCGAAATTAATTTTTATCTTACAAAAATTATCTTATAAAATCTACATATCTGATAGAATACAGCACTAAATAAAGAATTCAAAGAAAGCAAAGAATTCAAAGAATTGACATCGCCTGTTGCAGTACGGACAACGTCAGGTGCAGACGTCAGAGATACATAAAATGCATACAAAAACTTCTCGGCATATTTTGGAACTCTCAGTCCAAGAACAGAAAGATTTCATAAATTCCTTTGATTTCGTTTTAAGTGACTGCGATGGTGTAGTGTGGCTAATATTGAGCCCCTTGCCCAATACTGGGAGAACTATAAATCTTTTAAAATCCGAGGGGAAAAAATGCATTTTCGTTACAAATAATTCCTTCAATAACGACGAACAATTTTTGGAAAAATTTGCGTCAGTCGGCACTAATTTAGTAAAAAGTGTAAAATATTTAAAAATAGTTGTTTGAATTAATTTTAATTTAATTATTGATCTATTAATTAAGGAAGACGTCATAAATCCCAATAAGGCTATCGCAATGTACTTGAAGAAATATAAACCAGGGGAACGCGTGTTTTCGGTAAACAATCACGTGGCGAATGAGGTCTTTCGAAATAATGGCATCGATATTGAAACATTGGTAAATATATTTATAAAAAAATTAATTAAAAAAAAAAAAATATATCATTAAATAAAAAATAATATAATTTACATATATTATTAATATACAAGAAATGTAAAAAACAAATATAATAAAATAATATAAAAATATATAATTATAATAAAGTAATGTATAAATAGACAAGTAATAAATAAAAAACTATACATAAAATGATATATAAAAAAAAATATATTAACATGTTATGTTATATATTAAATCAAAATATATATTAATAATTTGTATACAAAATAATATATATAATAATAATATTAATATAAAAAATATATAAAAATAAGTATAATAACAATATATGTATGAAGAATATATAAAAGAACTGATATATATAATTATCATATAAAAAAATAATTTATAAAAGATAATATACGAAAAATGATATAGATAAATTAATATTACATACAAAAATAATATTTAATAGAATAATATAATATTTAAAAAAATATTAATATAATATATTTTATATAAAATATGTAAATACACAGAGTCTACTATATAACATATGTAAGCACGTTTAATTACATTGTTTTCTAGGTGTGATGTCTCTAGACTAAAAAGTACCACTATACCATATTCATATTCGAAGTGCCATTGTCTTGTATTGTGCATTTGAAGTATATAAAATATTGCGATCTGGAGATCTACAATAGCGATTTCTGCAAAAAATGAACTCAAGTGTCATGCCTGTTAGATTTAGCTTTGCTAATTCTTTGCCTGGTATTAAATGTTTTTCTAAGAAATATTGACTTTTGTCTATATATGTATCGCCGTTTTCTGACATGTGCTTTGGTGACTCCAGTTCTGCAGAATCTGCAAATGGGGTTCGATGCAATACCCATACTGCTTAGGTGTCCATTTTCGAAGGGCTATTTGACAATACCTGTCATACTGCAGTATTATTGATTAGGATGTCTGTTAGCATTTTGAGTAAGAGTTGTCTGAAGTGGTGACATCGTTCATGAGTTGAAATACCGATTTGGAAGTGGTTCGTCGGTATTATATAGTACTATGTCCTTGCGGTTAAGAAATCACTGAATTTCGTTAATATTGATTTGCATTTCATCATATTTTTAAAAAACAATTTTCTTAAAGTGGCTGTTGTCTGCTTTCAGAAGACAGTGTTTACACTTCGGAAACATAAAATGGTGCCCTTTAGGTGTAGGAACCACTGAAGTTTATATTCGCTAGATTCTCTAGGTAGAAATGCGTTCTACCTAGATCATCTATTTGAAAAGTTAGACGATATAAAAAATTATTTCCTTTTTTAGAGTGCGAGAGTACATATTATGAGGGATTCTTAGTCTACTCTCCAATATGCTAAAGATCAGTAATGACGTCGGTCCGTCAAAAAACATTATTTCTATGAATTTTATTTAATAAAAGAATAAATATATAAATCAAACATGTAAATAACATATAAAAAATAAAAATTTAATTAAATATATATGAAACTGAACATTATTTACTGTAAGAAAACAGTATAAAAAAAGATATATATTAAATATATATAAAATCTTTATTAAATTAAAAATATTTGTTTATTAAATTAAAAATATTTAATTTATTATATTTATTTATTTAATATAATAATTTAAAATAATTTTTTTATTAAATACATAATAAATTCATTATATACTTAATTTAATATAAATTTAGATATATATATAAACTCTATATTTTTTTGGATTTAAATACAATGTAAAACAATATAAAAAAAAATAAATACAAAACATAATTCCTTAATCTCAATTTAAATAATTTGAAGGACATAACAGATAATCTAGACCCTGCATCACTAGCTCGCCTCATAAAACCTGAACAGAAAGTAGGAGCTGTTGTGATTGATATAAACTTCAATCTTAATTATGCTGAGCTTGCCAAAGCTTATCAGTATTTATTAGATAAAGATTGCGAACTCATAATGGGTGGATCTGATACACATATGCCAATGTCAGCCGATATGGCTACTCTAGGTAAGTCCAATCAATTTAGTTTCTATAGCGATTGATTTAATATAACTATTATTTGAAGGATTCGTGGATTTCGCCAAATATCTAAGCAAATATTCACATAAGCAACCAATTGCGTTGGGTAAACCGTCACCACGTTTTGGTGATATTATCAAAGAAATGTATAATATTACCACGCCAAAACGTTGCCTTTTCATTGGTGATTCTTTGAGTAGTGATATAGCATTTGGTACTGTCTGTGGGTTTCAAACCCTACTTGTATTGTCTGGAACAAGCACGAAAGAAGAGATGCTGGTTGCTGAAGAGAATCTACGCCCAGATTATTATGCTGATAGTTTAGCGGATTTTATAGAATTATTTCAAAATATAAAATTGACGAATAACAATATTAAATAAATAATCAAATATAATTAATATTGAATAGTAAAAAGAAATTCAAGCGTTTAATATTATTTTATTACTTTTGGAATTATAGTTCTCAAAAATATTGTTCTCCGAGAGCATACCGGTTACCGGTCATGTCACAAGTGTACCACTTCAACAACGTAAAATTTAATTTTGAGCGGTACACAACCATTTTATTGCCCGAAGTTTTTACAGAGTTGAAGAAAACCAATCGGCGAAGAAAGATCATCCTCCACCACAACAATGCGAGCCCCTACACATTAGCTCAAACAAAAGAGTTTTTGAGTATTTAAAATGAGGAACTGATTGGTTATCTGCATTACAGTCCTGACTTAGCACTCAATGATTTAATCTTGTTTCCAAACTTTAAGAAAAAAAATACGTAGCGAATGCTTTTCTACGCTCCAACAGGCCGTAGAGACACTTAAAACACTTGGTTTGGAGATACCAACGTCAGGGTGGCAAAATGGTTTTAAAAATTCGTTGAATCGAATGTAAAAATATATTGCTCATCATGGAGAACCCTAAGAGAAACAATAACACCATTTTCACTGATAAACCACTGTGTTTTCATTGTTAGGCGCAAGACTTAATAGACAGCCCTCGTATAAAGAATAAGTTTGTCAAAATTGTGTTTAAGATAAATAAATCTTATACATTTATTATATCAGAAGAATTTATAGAAACTAATTTCAGTTAATATTAACTTAAGAGAACACACTACATTGCAAGACGGTGTATACATACATATATATCCTGACAATCTTAATAAAGACATAAATCTTAAAATTAAAGGTAATAATCATAATTCATTCTTCTTTCACGTGTCTTTGTGTAATAATGACTTTCAGATCATTTCTAGTCCAATTATGCGTTAAATAAATTAAATAAACAAAATTTTAGCTCTTATCTCTAAGAGAAATTACTATTTGTTTATATGAAATTAAGACGATCCGTAAGAGTCGCGCTACGATCTGTCTTTACTCATTTATATATACTCGTATATATATATATGTGTAATGTAGATGAAAGACCCGTCTTCAACAATAAATTGGCTAAATAGTATTGAGTTTTAAATATTTGCTGATATTTGATATTACGAAGAACTACTTAAATCGGTCGTAAGTAATTGTTTATTTTACTAAAAGATACTCTCTATATAAGGAGAGGTACTTTTCTGGCACTTTTCTCCAGCACTTTTCTGGCAATAATTAATTTTAGAAATATATTCAACTTATATATTCAATCTTATATATATAATTTCTAGCACAATTATTCCTAAATATTTTTGACCTATTCAATTCTTCTTAAATTTTGTCCAAACCTTTTCGATGTAAAGCCAATAGAGTACGATATTGCTTGTCTTTTTTTTTTTTGAATTAACACCCGAAATTAATTGTTATCTTACAAAAACTATTATAGCTTATAAAGTCTACATATCTGATAGAATATATAGGACGAAATAATTTTGCAAAATAAAATACAAAGAATTGGTTTCGCATATCGCAGTACGGACAAGTTCATTATCAAGTGCAGACGTCAAAGATAAATAAAATGCTTGCGAAAATTTCTCGACATATTTTGGAACTCTCAGTCCAAGAACAGCAAGATTTCGTTAATTCCTTTGATTTCATTTTAAGTGACTGCGATGGTGTATTGTGGCTAGCATTGAGTCCTTTGCCCAATACTGGGAGAACTATAAATCTTTTAAAATCCGAGGGGAAAAAATGCATTTTCGTAACAAATAATTGCTATAAGAACGATGAGCAATTTTTGGAAAAATTTAAATTAGCTGGGATCGATTCAGTAAAAAGTGTAAATCATTTAAATATGGTTTTTTGAATTAATTTTAATTTAATTATTGATCTACTAAATAAGGAAGACGTGATAAACCCCAATAAAGCCATCGTAATGTACTTGAAGAAATACAAACCGGAAGAACGCGTGTTTTCTGTAAACAATCACGTGGCAAATGAGGTCTTTCGGAATAGCGGCATCGATATAGAAACACTGGTAAATATATTTATAAAAAAATTAATTTAAAAAATATATTATACTAGCTGACCCGGCGAACGTTGTTTCCCCTTGCAATTAATTTTCCTGGCGTTCGTTGCGTTGCTCTTGACTTTCATTAGCACGTGTAATTGTATCCTGGTTTCTTACATCTTCATTGTTTTCTGCCGATCTATTTAATCGACGGTTCTGGAGTAATTGTGAATTCCGAGTCCGTCGACCAATATTTCCTCCTCGTCCACGAAGACGTGGCATTGTTTTTTGTACGATATTTATATCTTTATATATATAATTCTTCTTTTTTGTGTGTTGAATTTTTGAATTCGCTGGATTTACCAGGAATACCACCACATAACTTAAGATTAAAAATTGGCTCACCTATAATTATGCTGCGGAATTTAAATGCACTTAAGCTATGCAACGTCAGTTTTACAATTCATTTTAGAGATTTTAAAGTTTTTAAACAAATCAAAGTAAGCATGAATAAATTTTAAATTTTTAATATAAATGTATATGGATACCAAAAAATAAAAAATTGATTAAAAAGACATTATCCAGTGGGCCAAATTGTGAATCTAAACCTTCCTTGAATCCACTTGAACACACACAAAAAATTTCATCAAAATCGGTTCAGCCGTTTAGGAGGAGTTCACTGTCAACACACGTACAGAAGAATTATATATATAAGATAATAAAATATAACATCATGTATATGTTGTTGTTGTTGAGATTTAAGTTAGTGTTATTGCGCACTTTTACTCTTTTATGGCTGGTGGGCTTATCCCTGCCCAACACCAAGCTTTAACTATACTACAATTATTATCATTTATTTATCTTTTAACTGATGACGGACAGTAGATCAGCATATCTTCCTGTGCGTCCTGAGGTGGGGTTAAGATTTGTTAGTGCGCGGTTAGGCAACGTATCGACTTTTATGAGTAATTTTAGGGCTCTGTCCTTGATATATTTTTTCACTGAGTCGATTCTTAGATCTCTATACATGTCTGTTGTTCTAATATATCAAGAAATCTTAATTAGTCTTCTTAAAGCCAGATTTTGTGCTATCTGTAATTGCTTTATGGCAGTATTTGAGGCTTTGCTGTATGTTACACATCCGTACAGTAGTGCTGGCCTAATTATTTGAGTATATAATAACTTTCTATAAAATTAAATCTTAAATAAAATATAAATAGAACTAAATACTAGTTCCTATAGAAAACAGTATAAGGATCCATTTTTATATAAAATATTTTTACAAAAACAAAAATAAATACAACACATAATTTCTTTGTGAATTTTAAAAATTAAAGGATGTAACAGATAATTTAGACACTGCAGCACTAGCACGCCTCATAAAACCTGAACAGAAAGTAGGAGCTGTTGTGATTGATATAAATTATAATCTTAACTATGCTGGGCTTGCCAAAGCTTATCAATATTTATTAGACAAGGATTGCGAACTCATAATGGGTGGATCTGATACACATATACTAATGTCAGCTAATATGACAACACTAGGTAAGTCCAATCAATTTAGTTTTTAAAGCGATTGGTTTAATATAATTATTATTTGAAGGATTCGTGGATTTCGCCAAATATCTAAGCAAATATTCACATAAGCAACCAATTGCGTTGGGTAAACCGTCACCACGTTTTGGTGATATTATCAAAGAAATGTATAACATTACTACGCCAAAACGTTGTCTTTTCATTGGTGATTCTTTAAGTAATGATATAGCATTTGGTACTGTTTGTGGTTTTCAAACAGTACTAGTATTGACTGGCACAAGCACGAAAGAAGAGATGTTGGTTGCTGAAGAAAATCTACGCCCAGATTATTATGCTGATAGGTTAGCGGATTTTATAGAATTATTTCAAAATATAAAATTGACGAATAATAATATTAAATAAATAATCAAATATAATTAATATTGAATAGTAAAAAGAAATTTGATACAAAAACAAAATTTGTTATGTTGTCAAGCGTTTAATTTGATTTTATTACTTTTGGAATTATATTTTTTTAAATATATATTGTTTTTCGATTGAGTATACACGATAGTGTACAACTAATTTTAAGCAATATTTTGAATATATTTATTCACTTTCCATATGGAAGAACATTTCATTATTAATGAAATTATAATCTACTTAAAATGTTTATTATATTAAAAACATTGGTTTTATGTTGTGGATAATTTCAGACAAATTTTGAAAACGACTTCATTTCGAACTATTGAATAGCATGGCTTGTACATAAACGTTTTTATATGCTATGATTATTAAAGATCATTTTTTAAAAGCACTTTTAAGATTACATTATATTAATAACTACATAACATAATCTTCAGGATGATAAAGTTCCGTGAGAAGACGATAAACATACGAAGGCGCATGACCACCCCTGCAATATTGTTTATTTAATATAAATGTGGGTGAATTAAATTTTTCTTATCACTTACATATTAGAGATAAAAAGCGTCACAAGCTCCGGCGGCACATAATCGAATATTGGACTATATACTTTTGCAAAACGTGCAGCTAATGAATCGTACGATATAACATTTTCCGCACATCCAACTAAATTAAATGCATCCTGTTCATAGGAACACAAATAGACAGGAGATAGTTTATACATTGGAGCTAGAACAATGACAGGAACGGAATAATGTTTGGCAGCAAGTGCTACAGTATGTGAACCGCAAGCTGCACGTAGACCACCATTAGCCAACACACTATGAGTGCCAATGATTACTTTGTTGACACGTGACATCATAGCAAATATTGCTGAATCGGGTATAACAATTATTTCCACATTACCTGTTGCTAAACTTGCCGCTAAATTATGTCCCTAAAATATATAAGAAAAATTCATTTTGATTCAAATTTTGGAATTGTGCAATTATTTATAAAGTATAGTAAATCAACTCACCCTACAATCTGGTGCACATTCTGCTATTATAATTGTTAGACTTTGACGTTTTTTAATGGCCCGCTTCAGAAAATGTTCAACACTACGTGAATGTCCCAACGTCAGTATAACCTCAGAGGAGTGTATATGTTCTTCAGCTTGTATGCATATATTTTCGCAGCTTGTTTCGAGTTCCGTTTCGATTTCTTGCAAATGATCAAGTAATGCTTCACGTAAACCTTTTTGTGGTTTTGAGTAATCTATGCTAATATCACATTCACTAGTTTGTGTAACAAGTTTATGCAAAGATAATGATGCTTGAGAATCGTCATTAATTTGATGCACCTAAAGGAAGTTGTATATTAAATAATGTCGACAGAATGGCAACTATAAGTATTTGTTGTTGCAGCTCAAATCGTTCTAAGGGTTTTGCTAACAACGACACAGTAACAGTGGTGGTGAATGATACTTGGTAACGACAAGAGTAGTCAGCTCTATATCTTGGAGGCACTTACTACTTCCAACAAATATGATACTAGCAAGACTTTTTGCTATGCAATAGCAATAACAGTTGTTTATTATAGTGACTACGTAACATAGATGTCCTGGATCTATTAATATGTCCCGAAGATACTCAACAATACACAAGATCAAATACCATCGACTACTCATAACAAGAATACTAGAGTCTATTTGAGTCACAACAACAACAACAATTACAGTTGACCCGTAGCTTCCATGTACTTACCTTCGCCTGCAGTAGCTCAAATTCTTCACGTATCAGCTTAAGGATTCTACGTGCTATGTTTGTAGTTACGGTTTCCTGCGGCAAAGCCGACTGCAGTAAATGCCCCTGAGTGCGTACAATTTTCATTAATGCACTAAAATATATGCAATAATAATAATAAATATAATTTTTAAATATTTTAGTTTTGTTACTTACTCTGCATGTTTCCAGTTTTGTTCGTTTATTATATGTTTAAATAGATTTAGTGATTTTGAGGTAATTATGTATGAGCCGATTGTATTTCTGTTGACAAATGTATTAACCTTTAATTTCTAGCGTTTTTTTTGCTAACTTACCCCACTTTAATATCATGTATTAATTGAGCTACTTCTTTAGTTGGCAGTTCCTTCATTTTGAGTATTTAAAATTTTCGTTTAATTTAAAATAATTTAATTACTTTTAATACAAGTTTTGTTTTTGCAAATTGGCTGATGAAATCTGCTGCGTGGTTAAGCATGTGTACGTATGTATAGATGTGTGTGAGAAATTGTTTTCGTTTTCATTTTCTCCAAAAATTAACAGCTGAGAAATAAACAGGGTTGGTATATGTGGAACGTGTTTGAGCTAAAATTGTTATTGCTATTTTAACAATAATATAGTAACAATATATGATATATTAGAAATTTTTAAAATATGAATATTTATTATAAATTCACAATTATTTAATATATTTTAAATTTTAATTCAAGACATACTCTATTATTGATTGTGTTATCATAAATATTTTATTTTACGGAATTAAGGCGGCCCATTCACTTTCAAGCATCAACATCCATAAAGCCGTTTACTTGTATTTTATGCTCATTCTGTTACATATCAACAAAACTGTCAAACAGTAATTTTGTTTAACTGTTTGTGCTATACATTCAAATGTCATTCATGTAGTCTCTGTATACAAATTATGAAGTTTGATATATTCTTTATCTTGTATATGATATGACATATATATATCTTTACTAAATAAAATTGCATTTATTGAAAATATGATGTATATTGTTCCTTACCCGTTTAAATCAAAGAATGCAACAAGAGTTATAATTTTTTATCGAAATACAATGCATATAAAAATATGTTTTTGACTTTTCATAATTCAAAAAGAAAATATAGTAATAAATTTATACTGTTTTTACACCTAAACTTAGTACTAATAGCCACTTTCAACGAAAAACTGAGATAAAGCACTACATAAAAATATTTTCGCATTAAATTTGGACTTTGTAGATATTATTATTTTATATGGAACTTTATATAAATATTTTGTATACAATATATATAAGTGTTATATAAGTATTACTATATATTAAGTTCGCCAAAAAAACGAACTGGTGATTTTATGATTAATAAACTATTTTTTTAGGATATAATACTAAAATAATTTTTAATAGTTCATGCTCAATTGCTAAAAATATTTGACGAAATATTCCGCGACAACAACAATATTTTCGTTAAGGTATATATATAATATGTAGGGATATATAATTTGTATAAGGTATATAATAATATGACTTCATCAACTTACTATATTATATTATAATAATTAATTATCTAATTATATTATACACTTCAAATTATTATAAACACTACCAAAACACTGAAAGATAATATGCTTATAGTTAGTTATATAGTTGTAGTCAGTTAGTTAATATAGTTATCTAATATTAATTACCAGCATTAACCTCAAACAATTATCATAAACCACAGACTATAATCATAAATCAGAGACTGCAACCATATTTATTCTACTGCCAGTACCGACACACTTAAAAATTTGACAGAACTATGCGTTGCAGAAAACCTAATATGTTCGAACTATTAATAAAATCAATTTCATCAATTTGACTCTAATAAAAAAATTTATAAATAAAAACTACAGTTTATTTATATTACAGCTCAGTTATTTCGAGGTCTTTAATAAGTTTTTATTAGTTTTTTGTGTACGGGTACACCAAATTAGTAAGTTCATGTTTACAATATACCATATTACTTAATTATAGATGTATGCAGCCATATCAGCTATTTTTTACATAAAACTCATATGAAATCTATGTAAGTAAAAAGATATGACCGTTTGAGAGTTCGAATAAATTAAAGTAAATAGTAAATTAGGTCGGTATGGCAGCGAATGTTGGTATTTATTCGAATTTCTAATTAGGTAAATTAGATGGTACCATTGCGCAAAATTTATGAGATGTTTAATAAATAAATAAATACATTTGAAAACTTTTTACCAAAAATAATAAATGCAACAAATAAATAAATAAACATTTAATTTCAATTTACTTTACTTCAATTTACTTGAACTCGAACACAGCGTATAATAATAAAAATTTTAAGTAGTAAAACATACCTCTTATGTTTTCATATAATTTTACATACTTTTTGGATGTGATCCACAAAATACTTTTCGCTACATTTCCTACTACTTTCTGATTGTCATACAAAATGTTACCTTCCACCACGTACCATATGCAGGTATGTTGCTCTAGAAAGCCGCTATGTTCTACAAACAATTCATTCATTTGTTTGTATGGGTTGAAGTCGGTTCGTTCCCGGTCGACAGACAAAGTTGGAAAAGTTCTTATTTGTCTAAATCTGTGGTGCAAAAACATGTAAAGTAATTTTTAAAAGTGAGTGTTAAGTTTGCTTGTTTTTTTTGCGAGAACTTTAATACCATCTAATCACATAAAATTATAAAATTTAATTGCGAAAACAGTGTTAATTGGTATTATACGAATTTGATTCATTGTGCGTTGTAAAGTTGTGCTTTTTTATCGTTGATTACCGTTTGCTGAAATGCTATCGCGACTGCTTTGAAACAATAACTATGTGGTTTTTAAATAATTTAAAAACAGTAAAATCGATTTAAATTAAAAAAAATTTAACTTCTCAAGTCCTTCACTTGTAAAAGGTAGGAAGATACAACCAAAAAGAAAATAAAAAAACAAATTTGACTGAAAATTGAACACTCAGAAAAGCATAATTCACTCTCATTTTAAATGAGCATAAATAATTTTCTCTTGCCTTTGTAAATATAATTATTTTAATTTAAAGACGACCTTTTGATTTCTTTGTTTATTTTGTAAATTGAATTGAATTAATTAAAATTAAAATGAATTAGTATTTATATAGAAAAAGTTTTGCGAGTCAATTGTGTAGTGTTGTTGCAATTGCAGCCTCCACTCTTCAGTCTGCTTATTGATTTTTATTCTTTGTTTTTGCTAACAGTGATGCCAACAACTGCCACTACCTTTCGATGCAAATTCGTTGAAAATTTAATTCTAAGTACCGTTTTCTGTCCGACGCCAGCTTTAAATTTTCTTAGAACTTTTGGATTTAAAAAACGTGCTAAATGATAATAGTCGGGGGCTTATAGAGTTTTTAGTTTCTGTAAAAAATTATATAAAATAAAATTTTAAAGGGAAATTTAAAGCGTTCTTGTTTAGCATTTTTGTTTTAAATAATAATAATACAATATAAACAATATTAAATATTTCTTCAAGAGAATTCAAGTGGCTTAAAAAAAATTAGAGGCGAATCAAAAAATTATTCTCTTTTGAAAGTAAAAATAATATAATTAATAATTATTAAATATAAAGTTAAACATAATTTGTTTTTGTAAAATTTTTCTTTAAAAATGTATGAAAAAACTTCTTGATTCAATAATTAAACTTAGTTTAACCGCGTGGGCCTATTTTTCATATAAACAAATTTATTTTTTGTCATTTATGTATATTATTTTTTTTGTCATAACTGTATTTTTTGTGTTTGTTTGGTTCATATATTTTCACTTATATAGTTTCTTTTTTTCATATTTGTATGCATTTTTTTCTTTCATAAGTATATATTTTCTTCACATATATATTTATTGAATATTTTGTTTGTTATATTATATACATATATTTTTTTGTCATATTATATATATATTTTTTTTTGTCATATTGTATATATATATTTTTTTTTTCTGTCATATTATATATATATATTTTTTTTTGTCATATATATATAAAATTTTTGTCATATAATATTTTTTTTTATTTTGTGTCATTTATATATATATATATTATTTTTTTTTTTTTGCATATATATCAATTATTTTTTGTCATATATATATTTTTTTGTCATATTATATATTTTTTTTTGTCATATATATTTTTTTTGTCATATTATATATTTTTTTTTGTCATATATATTTTTTTTGTCATATTATATATTTTTTTTTGTCATAGATATATATATTTTTGGCCATATATATATAAATATTTTTTTGTCATATATATATAATTTTTTTTTATCATATATATATATTTTTTAGTCATATACATAAATTTTTTTTTTATAAATATACATATTTTTTTTGTCATATATATTTTCATATATGAAGTAATTTTATTTCATACATATCTATTTTTTTCTTACATAGGCATATATTTTTCTCTTCATATATTTTTTTGTTTTTAATATATATATTTAATATATATATTTAATATATATATTTAATATATATATTTAATATATATATTTAATATATATATTTAATATATATATTTAATATATATATTTAATATATATATTTAATATATGTATATATTTATTTACTGTTTTTTCATATTTTTCATATATATGTATATATCATATATACCGGGCCACGTGGTTAAGATGGGTTCAATTACGGAATTTTTTTTATACATTTTAAACTTTAAATTTAAAAAAAATTATGTGGCACAAATTTTTATCGTCCACGTGGTTAAGATTAGTTCAATTAATTTTAATAATAAATTTTATTCATACATATTAAATTTTTAATTAAAAAAAAATTGTGTGATCTAAAAACTATTTTCATGGTTTTAAAAGATATAGTTTATCGAAGATATTAACAGTAACAAACGCATTTTAGATATTATAACTTGAATATTGTTAAAGAAGTAATTCTTAATGTTTTTAATTTAATTTAAATTATTTAAATTAGTTGATTTAAATTTAACTCGAATTTTATCAAGGTTTCGAACCGGAAACTAGAAACCTGGTTTGTGCTGGAACTACAATTTTAATTTTTTTTAAATAGCAATGTTCAATTAGAAGCGCTCGACTTAATAAACTTTCAGTAACATATTAATAATATATGGCACTTATGCTCTTTTTTTATATATAAAAAATAATTCTACCAATTAAACAATGTTGTAGGTTATTCCTTATTATACAGGTATTTATTTTCTGAATGTTGTTTGTTATTGTTTTTGTTGCATATAGACAATAGAGCAGAAAACCAGAAATGGGTTACACATGCAAATAGATGGGTTAGTATATGGTTAGGTAAGGGAGGGTAGGATGAGCAGAAGAATTGTTGTTTCGGATATGGAATAGATGAGTGGTAGATAGGTTTTTATTAAAATTAGTCTTAAGTCAATGAGGAGTAAACAAACCACTTACATATGTTAGGTTAAAGTCAAAGATCAGTAGGGCTAAAATTAGTGTGTGCGTATTAGAATTTTAGAGTGACTGTTATTTTATTAGTTATTTATTTATTCGTTATACTGTTGTTTACAGTATAAATAACTTTGTTAAAAACCAGTTTAACTTCAATTATCGAACTATTTCGTATCGGATTGTAATTGAAATCTGATTACAGAAGGAATGGGTATAAATCAGTACAATTGTGATCATAATTACGATACACAGGTTAGGTTATACCGGCAATAGCAAGGATCCATTTAGGCCTATTGACCCATTGTATGATCGTGTAAGAAATTCTGAGGTTTGAAAACCAAGTTTTTCTTGTAAATATGTCCCATTATTGTTAATTTAAATAAACTAGTTCAGAAAGCAACTAGTTCCAGTTCTTAAATAAAACTAGTTCAATGTTTGATTTATAATATATTCAAAACAAAACAATAAAAAAAGTAAAAACATTTTTTATTTCAATATTTGCTTTTAGATTTTTACAAACTGATATGTGATAATATTATTAACTTATATTCTGTTTTTAAAAAAAACTGTTTTAGTAAAACGGGTTGTTGAACTATCAATTACCGACCACCTGATTTTAAAATAGATTTCTATTGTTTCTCTGTTAGTTTCTTAGGTTATCTGAAAAAAACAGATATGGTTATTGGATTACTTTTCTTGTGAATATCGGAAATATGACAGAAGTTATATATTGTGTTTATATTTTAATGTATGTTATTCTGACATATGTTTTTGGATCAGAAAATGAAAAAGTGTTGGATCATCAATAAAGAGTAACTTCAATTGTGTGTGATTGTATATGTATAAAAATATTCAATTGATGATTCCATCCTAAAAATTTGCTGGTGTGAATTAGAGGAATTAGTCTATTATATCTACGTATACTAATGTTACCAAAGAAACAAAACTTGGTTATCACCTTCCATTGGTTTCTATAATGATTTTTTTTTATGAGTTAGTCTGTGAATTTTTAGGTTCCTCTTGCAATAAATAAAAGAATAAAGAAAAATGTTCTTAGTGGATTATTTTATCTCCTTACATATCGACCCTTACCTCACTTCTTTTTAGCTATATTAGTCATAAATTTTTTTTTTCTAATTTATTTTACATTAATATTTATTATTCTCATTTTACTTATACACCTAGATCTCTGTATAAAGTAGTCGTCGAGAACGAAAAATATATCGTTATAGAAAGTTAGAAAAACATTTTTTACCTTGACATTTAAATATGTTATACATTTAACATAGATAACATTGTGCATTAGTCTTTTAAAGTTTTGGCTAAATACGTCTTTATTATATAGAGGAATTATAGATGAGTTCGATATAGATAGAAATTAAATAGATAAAGTTCTAGTCTTTAAACAAAAAAATTTGTTATAGAAAGAACTTCTCTATTGGATGTTTGTATTTGAAAATTCTTTAATTTATATAAGATTCCTTCATATAAGAGGACTACGTTATAGAAAGGACTTTGCTATATAAAGGAACTCCATATGAAAAAGATTTCTGTATAGAGCTGCTTGCTATAGAGAGGTCTAAACGTATCAAACAGTTACTATATCGCAAATAAAAAAAAGTTTTCTTATAAAGAGGAATTCTCTATAGGTGGGTTCTTTATAGAAAGGTTCTGATAGTTTATTGACTTTAAGAATTTGTGCTATAGTATTTGATATACATATAGATTCGTATATCCTTTTTGTTTGTTTAGATATAATAATGTTTGTTAATTAAAACAACATAATTTAGATATTATTTTATAATAACAATTTTATTTCTAATTTTATAAAAGTGTTGGCATCACTAGAAGTATAAACAAATGTTGTATCATTTTCGTATAAATAAATTTTATTTTTAATTTTTCATACATTATTAAACTAATAATAGCATTGAAAAAAAAAAAAATAAAACCGAGTCATAATAAATAATTTTAAAAACGAAAACCCTTTTACAAGTTTTGCATTTGTTCAAATTTATTTTTTTTTTGTGCATTCAAAATACATTCAATAATTGTTTTTGTGTATATTATAAGTAAATAAAAAAAATTAATTTTTGTATATTGAAATAAAAAAAAATGTTTTCTTTTTACATTAAAAATATTAAAAAATTTTTTTTTAAACTAAATTACATTATATTAAATTTTGTGTAATATTTTGTGTAGTGGACAACTAGTAAATTACACAAAAAATAATCTTTAATTTATGAAATAAATTTTTAAATAGTTTTTTTTTTTATTTTTTCCGATATAAAAAAGATTATTGTTTTGTAAAAATTTAAAAAAATTTTTAAAAATTGATTCGAACAACAAAAAACACACAACATTGGATTTAAATAAAACTCTTTTGAAAATCTAGAGTTTATCAAGAGCAAAATATATAGTTCAAATCATGCTAAACAACGCCACGAATAATAATTCGACGCATGTAAGTAGAGTTCAAAATTCTCTGATCATTCAACCATAATTTTTTAATAAATTCTCCAATATTGTTGTTGTCGTAGTATTGCTAATAACTAATTATTAAATACTAATTACTGACTATAATTAATCAAGATTAAATGTTTACTAACAAAGAACATACTGTTCTGTGTGTTTTTAATCTAACCGAATTGTGGTTTTATCAAACACTGCCTTTTTGGTTTTTATTTAAATTTTTAAATTAAATTAAATTAAATTGTATATTTTTTTGTTTCATTTGCTTTATTTATCTAACCTTTGATTTTATTTTAAAACATGTGCATTTATAATTTAATGTTACAAAAAAAATATAATGAGACAGAGGCGGATTATTATCTCATATTTTTTTTTTTTTTGTTTGTAATTTAAGGTTTGACTAATGTGAACTAATAAGTAAGTTATTTAAGCATAGTAATTTAATGACATTAAATTAGTAGTTTAAATAAATTTTTTAAAATAATAATTATAAATAATTATAATTATAAAATATGCAAATTCTTCAAATAACTCGTCAAAGTATGAAACTGAAAACTTGATCTCGTATGCACCCTTTCTTAATAAATACTTTATTTTTATTTTTGTGTTAATTATACAAATAATAAAATAATTGAAGGGAGATTTTATAAATACATCTTTTTGATTTTCTAAAATATATAATAGAATTAAGCATTAACTCAAAACTGTGCTACTTTTGATAGGCACTTAGTTCCTCTAAGTTTCTCTAACGATAAGAGAATATGATATTAAATGTGTTGGACATCTCGTTCAGTTAATTACGAACTAAAGAAACATATTGGATATCTCTGAAGAATATCGATAAGAATCAAAGTAATGTATATCATATCGTTTTTGCGGTTTCGGACCAATTTGTTAATGATACAAGATTGGAGAGATTTGACATCGGTTAGTGATTCAAATTTGGGCAGTTTTTATAGCTATTCGGGTATATAATATTATTATTGGGTTGACGTGCGAGTCTTCTCTACTACAGATTTCTATGGTATTAATATTCCATTGAACACAATTGTAAAATAAAATTATATTTGAGTTGGCTATATCTTGCATCTAGGTTGAAGAGACATAGGTATTTCAACTTTATACATCGGAGAATAAAATATTGTGTTATTGTTACAAAAGCATTTATATCCCATTTTAAGCATCCCATTTTAAAGAGAACTTTTTCATTGTTTTAAGAATCGTGTTATTGATAATAAAAAACGTTTCAATAAATTTATAAACCTAAGTAGTAGTTGTATTAAACGCGTTAAAAAGCGTTACATCAATGGAAAGCAATTCAAAATATATGTTTTAAAACTGCATTAGCTAACTGACCCATTCGGGTCCGATTTTATTGGAATAGTTTCGCTTGTTGTTTCATATCTGCGTCTAGAGTTTCATCTATGAAGTTAGGTTAGGTTGGGTTATACCGGTGATCCCAAGGGGATTTACTTAAGTCTATTGACTAATTGTTTAACCATATCATACAGAAACTCATAGTTTAATACTACCTGAAAACTTTGGCGCAGCTTGGAATGCTGTTTAGTGTGAGGTCTTATAGTTAATCAAGATCTTTAAAGAAGTGGTGGACCCCTAAAGTGTTGACTCGCCGTTTATGAAGTTAATTAATTAATCCTTTAAGAAGTGTAGTATAAAGACTTCAATTTGATATTGCTTATTTTGAGGGTCATATAAATATTTTGAGATTAAGCTAAATTTGATTTCTCAAAAATAACTTTAGATTTCCCGGGGAACTTCATGGTTCCACCGGTATTCTTCTTTACATATTGTGCGTTTACAAGGCTTTTACAAGTTTTTTATAAAAACAATTAAGAATATTATGAAGGAAAATCGTTAAAAGAAAAGAGATATATGTATATTATATATAAGTCATATTCGATTATCTCTATTTTTAATAATGATATATCTAATACCTGCCTACAATGCTGATTATTTGACATTTTTGGCATAAAGCCAAAACGTTTTTGTATCCTTAATCATTTTAATTGTAATTTTCTTAACAAATTTTCGTATTGTACGTTATTTTAAAAGATTCCCTTAAGTGACTGTCAAATGTCAATTTTTACTGCTACCAGTAACGCATAGTTGAACTTATGGCAAGTGATATTTTATATTAAAATTTTATGTCACTGGTTTGTAGGTACATCCAGAGTATCTTACCAATTCATTTATCAATTTGAATTTGTGACACATTTTGTGCCAATTCCGGTATGACAAAAATGAAGCAAAAATCTTAACATCATCTGAGCTTTATTAATTACTTACCTTTTACCTTTCGTAGAAGAATTTCCCATTGAACTCTGATGTCAAAATGTTAAGTTCCTTTTTTTAATAGTCGTATCGATTTTTGCTTGAAATAATAATTAATATCTTTTTCTAAATTAGTTTTTCAATCAACTTAATTAAAATTAGAATAAAAAATATCTTATTTTTAATTTATCGAAACGATTTTAATGAAATAATGAAATAATCTTTTAATACTTATGTATGTTCTTTTCTTAAATGTCAGATTAGATGGGATAGAGATTTTTAAAGAGTTTTAAAATGACGGAAAAAGAATCATTGTGATTTTCTGTGGTATTTAATGTAAACATAAAAATATTTTATGAACTGCAAAATAACCTTTCATCAAACATCGTTATGAAATATTTAGTAAAATTCACGAACTAAATGGTTTACAAAATAGGGAAAGAATATACTCTAACATTAATTGTCAAGGTCTATTGCCTTTCGATCCATTTATTCAATTTGTTATGAATTTTTGTTTGCTGTAATGTAGGCCTTGTTTTGTCACAGTCTTTCAATTGTCTTGTCTCAAACAATCCGCCTTGACTATGATCGTCATCTTCTTTAGTTTTCTGTATATTGTCTTATTATCTAATCTCAGAGTAATCACTAACTGCATGGGGCAGATTTTAGATCAATCATTGAATAATCACGAAGATTATGAGGAATACTCAAATTAGTCAGTGAGATGAATGGGACTCTGCAGAAACCGCCCCAGCCATCATAGAGTAAAAGTGCCCAGATGCACTAACTCGGAAAAGGCTCAACATAACATTATGGTTTACTTAGGATTCTATAAACATATCGGCGACCCACGATTTTTTTTTTGCTACGATAACTTCTCAGGCAGCCACGTCAATCCTGCATTGGTTTTGATCGTAGGTTTCTGTGCATTATTTCATCATAGTTTGCTTAGTTTTCAACCACTCTATCAGCATATCGGCGGCCCATTTTTATTATAATTTTTATATTGCTTATATACTGAGTCTTATTTGGATAGTCTTTTTATCATTGGATAAGAGTTTATGAAAATGAGCTTCTGGGTCAAAAGAAAATATTTATGAAATATATAATTTTTTGGTGTAAGGAAAATTTTTTTTTCTTATATATAATAATTTTTATATTATATATATGCATATATATATATATGCATATATATATATATGCATATGCTGCTGGCTGGTGGTTAGGTGTGAGCCCTGGGATTGGTTCTTAGGCTTAGGCGTGAGGTGGCTGATATAGGTGGCGGATGTTGGTGTGAGTTCTGGCGCTGGGGACTGGGTGTAGGAGTTGGTGTGTGCGCTTGGCGCTGGGGCTATGGCGACGTTGGGGCTGGGGGTTAGGTGTGAGTTGTGAGCGCTGGGTATTTGGTTTTCGGATATATTATTAAAATTTATGACAATAAAGTTGAATGCGGTGAATATTAGAAAAAATATGAATTGTTGAAAAGTTTATTAGAAACTTTTTACACAATTTTTTCAAATAAAGAAAACATGTGCTAGAGAAAACTATTTTTGATAAACGCAGGAAGTAATTAAAGATTTTGCAACAATGTTGCAATTATTTGCGGCATTGTTAAAAGTTTGTTTGTTCTTTCTTTTCTGAAAAAGAAGTGCTTTAAATGAAAGTGAAGGCGATAAGAAAAGAAAAATTCATTTTCGAAATTTAATCTTCAAATTTTACTATGTGTTTTGTATTTAGTAGTAGCGCTTATTTTATGTTGTTCTTTTGTATTATGCTTACAAAAAAAAAGCCTATTGCTGAATAATATAAATTTATTAAATTTAATAGCATTATAAGCAGCACGTTTGAAACTGCATAAGAATATATAATAAAAGTGTAATGTTTTTAGAGATTTAAAGTTCCATATTTTATCCTTTGCTATCTATGATTCGCTAGCTATTTTGTGTAGACGAATTTTATTTCGGTTAAGCGAATTTTATACTCGCTAAGAGAATTACGTTAGGAGCTGAACAACAACATCTAAAAGATCATTCGACTTAAGTGTCTAGATTCGCTACAATTCGGCTGGGGAATTTAATTTCGTTAGCGAATTTTATTACTCGTGAGAGACTTACTGTAAGCAACTTAAGCAATAAAAACTAAAAACATCATGAACTACCATAAGTGATCTTAGATTCGCTAACAAATTCGGCTAGGCGAATTTTATACTCGCTCAAGAGAATACTAAGCAACTAAGCAATAAAAACTAAAATCATGACTAAGCCATCGATTTTTAGCCTAGATGGCGTTGCCGTATATCTTGTTAAATATTTATTAAATAACTTTTGCTATCTATGATTCGCTAGCTATTTTGTGTAGACGAATTTTATTTCGGTTAAGCGAATTTTTTACTCGCTAAGAGAATTACTTAAGGAACTAAGCTATAAAAACTGAAACATCATGACTAAGCCATCGATTTTTAGCCTAGATGGCGTTGCCGTATATCTGTTAAATATTTATTAAATATAACTTTTGCTATTTATGATTCGCTAGCTATTTTGCGTAGGCGAGTTTTATTTCGGTTAAGCGAATTTTTTACTCGCTAAGAGAATTACTTTAGGAACTGAACAACAACAACTAAAACATCATGACTAAGCCATCAATTTTTAGCCTAGATGGCGTTGCCGTATATCTTGTTAAAGATTTATTAAATATAACTTTTGTTATTTATGATTCGCTAGCTATTTTGTGTAGACGAATTTTATTTCGGCTAAGCGAATTTTTTACTCGCTAAGAGAATTACTTAAGGAACTAAGCAACAACAACTAAAACATCATGACTAAGCCATCGATTTTTAGCCTAGATGGCATTGCCGTATATCTTGTTAAATATTTATTAAATATAACTTTTGCTATTTATGATTCGCTAGCTATTTTGCGTAGACGAATTTTATTTCGGCTAAGCGAATTTTATACTCGCTAAGTAAATTACTTAAGGAACTAAGCAATAAAAACTAAAACATCATAACTAAGCCATCGATTTTTAGCCTAGATGGCATTGCCGTATATCTTGTTAAATATTTATTAAATATAACTTTTGCTATTTATGATTCGCTAGCTATTTTGCGTAGACGAATTTTATTTCGG